GTTTTCAGAAAGAGTCAATATTGGCGCAGCCACCCCCGTCCGTCCAACCCTTGGACAACCGACCCTTTTCCCTCGCGTAACGCCCTCTCGACACTGACTCCATTCCCTTTTTTTTTTTCCCCATCTGTCCTCCTCCGCATCCGGGAAGTGGCATCCCTTCCCGAAAGCCTGGACGCGACTGCTTCTCTATCCCCCACGTGCGTCCACTTCAATCTGATGTGCCTTCATCGTCCACTTACGTGGCAACACTCGACAGAACGATTTAATTAAGGCCGAATGACGGAAATTTAATACCGAAGGCTACCTTTTTTTTTGGCACGGACTAAAACGACGAAGGGTAATGATTCATTACTTGCAAGGGATACGCCGGACAGAGTGACGTTGAATGATTATTAATCTACCGTCTTCAAACGAATCATATTTTACTTTAAGATTGTTCAAATAAAATATGATTTATTATTTCTGGATAACCTCGTTTTATTCGCAATTGTTTATTTAAATAATGAAACAGAAATAATTGATTTTTTTTCTCCCAACATTTGTTATCCAGTTTAGTATCACCTATATACTAGCTTTGAAATATAAAATTTATATTATTTCTATGGTATAGAGAGAGTCGTCCATTTTACCTACTCATCCTCTACTCTTAACCCTCGATTTACCGTGGAAGGCAGAAGAAGAGGGTGCGTTGACAGTGGCGCAACCGAGGGCGAGGCAAGGCTGAGTTTGCGCTGGACTAGGTACATTAGCAATGTTTTGTTGACACTGGAGAACGACAGAGCCATTACTTACTGGGTTCCGACCCTAACCAACTTGCACCAATGACTGCTCTTCGATCGGAAGAAGCTATGGCACTATTCGGAATAGAAGTAGATTAACCGAGCCCTTCGCTATCCTTCCCAGAATAAAATATTTATAAATTACTAAGAGTCTTGAAAATTTTTAAACTTTAAAATTCGAGTACCCTTACACTCCTATTATTTATCCATCGCTACCTTTCCAAAGAACAAAAACGACCCAGAAATCAAACGGAAGAGCAAAAACGTCCGACTGGCACGTAGAAACTCTTCTGCCTCTTCCGGCTTTGTTTATTTTTGGCGGCAGAATGTTGTTCTTAACCCTTTCGCCCGAGTGAACGGGTTATGGTGTTCGGCTTTCTCGAAGATTAGAAACGTCTGAGACACTTCTTCCCCTCCGAGACACGATGATGATACTAAAGAGGCCCGGGGTATAATAAAGACGCTTTAAGCGCCGTTTATAACAAGACCGAGGGTTTGCAACGAAAAAAACATTGTCGCAGCACGTGCTAGGGAGAAGTTTATTTTTGTCTACGACCAGCAATGCCACAATGCGCATCGAGAAAGCGGCACCGATCTCTCAGCAACCGTTTTATGTCGAAAAGAAAAGCGGAGATATTTCAAGAACCCCCTTATCTCGTTCCCTGGCGATGAAAACCACCGTACGATTCGTTATTCGATGATATCTACTTTTATAGACAGTAAAATGAAAATAATAAACTATCTTTAGACAGAGAAATGGATGGATATAATCCTTTTTCTAGAAGTTACGAGGTTATTAGCGACCGTCTAGGGAGCACTAGATGTATCTTGACCAAAGTTACTAGACTTTCACGAAATTGGTATAATGATTTAATCTTGTTAGAAAATTATTTCTTTCTTCATTTAAATATTCAAATACTATTTTCAAATAATATCTAAAACTAATTAAAATACCAAATGGACAAAGTACTACCACTATCTGAAAATGAAGTATTACTACTATTTTGCGATTATAAAATAGACGAAGCAACTGTGTAACTATAGTGATAGAAATGATACCATCAAGTAGTCAATGGGAAAGTAACTTTCCTCTAATAACACGAAACATCCAATTTAAACCCTGTTCCGAGAATGTCGCGCGGTCTAAATCCTCCTGGTTCGTAAAATATTGAACAAGGACTCGTGCCAGAGACACCGGGCTCGAAGCAGACTTCCTCTTCAGCTTCTGCGAGCGATCCGGCCCGCAAGCTGACGTAAATTAAAAGCTGGATCACGCGTACAGGGGCGGAAACGTAATCAGGGGCCCCTGGAGACTGGGGCGTCTCGTGGGCGTTCGTGTCGGGCAAAAAACATGAAAACATCAGGATACACCGTGTATAGCTCCCTCGGGACCTGTTATCGAGTGATTTAATTTGCCTCTTTTCGAGGCGATACGTACACGAGGAACAGACGATTTATTCAAAAGCCTCGCGTATCAAGAGGCAATAACCTTCGACGGTTTCATTCTAGCGTTGTTATTTTCAGATTAAGTACCCTTGAATTAATTATCGAGCACGTCGTTCAACGTTATCTCGCGAAGAATTCGCTAGGAAATCAAAATCGAATTTCTATTAATGTAACCGTTGAAAGATTAACGATACCAAGATTCGTGACAGCTATCTTCATTCTGAATTTCCAATATTATCATTCGCATTGTGTGAAAATAAAATAGTTTTAAGATAGAATCACATAATCTCAAGTTGGGACTCTGAAGTTCCATCAATCTCGAAAAAATTCGAATGTTTAATTAAGATATTCCAATGTACCCCTTCTCGTCTAGAGAATATACGCCCAAGATGGTGGTATGGAATTGCGTGGAACAAAAGAGGCAGCCAGATAACGAGCAGACGGCGCCGCCAGAAATCTCGCGATCAGCATCTTTTTCTCTTATCGTCCTTTCACGCGTTCCAACGGACACGTTCGGTTACCGGACACCGATTACAGAGACAGCCTACCACCGTTTTTCTGCCTTCGACAGCATCATCGAAAAAAGAAATAACGATGACTCTCGAACAGTTTAACGAGCGTGTATTTTGAAAGGCTGCTCTTGGAACGCGACCCGTCATCCGTTCCGCGCGTCGCGCAGGCTGGCCAACTTAATCCGACCAAGAGACTAGAAGGCAGCGCGAAATGTAAACACAAACGGGGCAGATTGCGAGAGCTTAGACACGATGGGTAAGCAATTCTTATCGCAGCTACGCATGGATCGTTTTCTTTTTTTCTTCTTCTTCTAACGTCGTACAATATCGACGGAGGCACGTGTGACTCATTAATTCCTCGAAACGCCTGTCGGTCGGAGCTGTATTTTCATTTCGGTGAATTTATGATCAAGGTTGCGCTCTAATTACACAAAGCCACCGCGTGAACTACAAACGTTTTTCTTACGAGTGATTTACCGGGTAAATCAATTCGAAAGCCGATAAATACTTGAAACCGCGGACCTTAAAAACGTGCCTATATTTGTTAGGAATAAACGAGGCCCTGTTTATACGTGAGAAACGAATCAAACTGATAAACGATGAAAACGTGCGTTTGATAAACTTCCCTCGAGCGAAAAAGTGGCTACTTCCGGTTCGTATAGGCGATTGACCATAGCGGAATGATTCGACGGATATCGTAAATATCGAGGGAGGAGATGTTGATTTCGGTGAAACTCAACGATGCGAATCGACGTGGCAAGATAGATATGGCGCTTCTCTTGTAGCGAGAATTTCGCGAGGGAGGAAGTGGGAAGCACCACCGTGGCAGGGGCCCAGTCTAGTACACAGCCGCATCACGCCACGGGGAACGTATCGAATTTCTTATGGCTTCTGTGTATTCCCATGAACGGAGACAGAAGGTCAGAGTGAAGCAGAAAGAGGGAAAGAGAGGTAACCGCGTGGCATGGTGTGGTGGCTCTCCTCTAGTCCTATCCGATGGCTTTTGGGGTATCGTGGATACGCATGGCATCATTCGCGGCATATTAATTACAGGAAATCCCACAAAGCATCCATATCACCCCTCCCATATACTATCCCTCTACGTAATTCGTTGTACACCCCCGTTTCGCCTGGAATATTGAACGGATCGAACCGTATCATCGTTGCGCTTCCTACTTCCTCGATTATTACCAGAACCCGAAGAACGGTTGTTATTGAAACACGGTGACCTTGGATTGATAATTACGTCGAATAAAATATAATTCACCGACTATAATTTTCCCACTTTCAAACGATGGACAAAGTTCACCTTATTTTCCTTAATTGCCGAAATCAATTTCCTCAAAAAGAAAGTATCATAAACAAAAATTTATTTTACACTTTCAACGACACCCTGTATATACCCTACCATAAACGACCAAATTGGCACGCCGTTACTGCACAATTTCAAGGGATATTATAACGGTAACTAAAATTGATTCACGTATCCCGAGAGTTCGAACGCCTTCCGTTTGAGAAAGAAAATGGCGGTAATGAAACTCGTTGGACGATTAAGCGGTACGATAAATTGTGCTGCATCCCCATCGTGTTTTCATTTTCGATTCAGAGTTACGAGACTGTAACTATTGGGTACAGAAGGGAAAATTAATATCCAAATAATTAGCTTTCAAGACGTTATCCGTAAATCTTTTCTCTTTTTCGCAGGTATTTTCATAAAATGATGGAACGTTGGTGTTGTAAATTATATAGAGAGAAATGAAGTATCCGATAAAAGAGCGATGGCGCGACTCGAGGGACATACAGCGTTAACGTTACGTACGTACGAGGCCGTCTTCGAGTTTTGCTCGGTCGTTTCTAAAATCGGATATAGAGCAACGACCTTCCAAACAACACGAAACTCCTACACGCTTGCGCCCTCCACGGATTCCACGGATATATCAACTCGGATACCGTCGATTAACTCTACGTAACAAGGCCAAGGAAAAAATATATAGGAAAAATAGATGATGCGACGGTGGGATATTATAATAACAACGCTTATATCACCATCGGTGTTTCTTTTTTCTCTTAAAACAATCAGACGTATCTGACGTGCCACGATATTTGGTTATTGGAAAGGATTACATAAAACTATGAATATATCCAAAACGCTTTTTGGATTACAATGTAGTATAACGTTAGTTTATCTGAACTACGTTTTCTGTAGTTTATCTACAGAGTTATACTAAATAATAATTAAGAAATGAAGAAGATAATGACTTACCTGTGTTCGGCAGCACGATCCCTTTGTCTCCGGTTCTTGAACCAGTTACTGACTTGCGTAGTGGTGAGACCCGTGCTTTCCGCCAATTCACGTTTCTCCCGGGGCGAAGGATAAGGGTTGGTAGCGTACCAATCCCTCAACACACTCCTGGATTTCTCCTTGAAGCAGTAAGATGTTTCCTCGCCGTCCCATATTGTACGAGGCAGAGGAAACTTGCGTCGAACGCGGTACTTCCCTGTAATACAAATTTAAAACATTTTATTAGATCACTATTGGAATATTATTCATTTCAATGGATGAGTTTTCTCATTGCTTATGAGGTTCAATAAATTTGTATCAAAAGGGGTGTTACACGTTTGATGTTCCAAACAATGAGCTAAATAATGATGCGGAAAGGTATATATAATTCTACATTATTTCCATCGTCATTCGCGTTTGCTACAAATACCGAGTATTGTTTAACATTATCCTCGAACGAATGAGCTTCCGCCGGTGCGGAAAACGTAAATAAAGATTATACAATAAGGTGTCTGTTTGAAATTGTTCCTGCGTGTAATCGATGGCAACGAGTCAAAATAAAGCTTGTTGGAGAGATAACAAAAAGAAAGAAGAAATGTTAAGTTATTATCGATAATATAAACTGGTAAAAGATTGTCTGTTTAAATAAATTAGTTTCAAATTTTCATTTTTTAAATAAAATTGATGGTAAACTGAAAATAACTATAAATTAAATTTTGTTACGTTGTGTTAATAAAAATTATGTTGAAATATGCAATAAAAAAAGGGTTAAATTTATGATTATTAATTTCTAGAGTTTCGCGATTCACCGGAAATCTAGCGAGGTAAAACACGTTTTCCTCGCTTTGCCCTCTGGTTTTAGCGCACGAGGGATCATGTGACACAAATTGGTTCGCAAAAGTAAATGGAAAGATCTAATTAGAATGTCAGCTCGTTAAACTCACCATCCTCGTGTTTACAACACGCGACAGAAATAAAACTGGCAGACCTCGACACGATGCTTGTTCTTTCACGAAATCTTTCCTTCCCGCTTCTATTATGATCGCCGGTGAATTAGACCCAGCATTATTATAACCTCTTCACGCAGTCGATCGTATTTTTAACTCTCATATTCGAAATATTAAGCAACGTGAATCATAAATGTAAAATACCTGAGGCTACCTCCAACAACAATATCCAAGACACTTATGAATCATTGTAAATCGCGTTAAAGTGATAAATATCTGAATAAAGATTACACAAGAAACAAACGTCGACATCCCCGCGTATTATGGCGGCGACACTGTCACGTGACTGCCGCGCCACCCGCCAAAATTTAAAACGTCCTATTCGAAGCATCGAATTAATTTTGCTACCTGTACACATTTTTCAAAAACTGATATATACAATTACGAAATAATAAATGTTTGGAATTTAATAAATGAAAATCAGGTATAAATAAGAAATACATAAAGAAAATAATATGACAGTGGCTTTCAACGTAGTAAGATAAAAATTGAAACTACTTTCTCTGTTATAAGTGTCAATGTTATCATTGTCTTAAAGTGTCTTCATTGTTCTCGAATTCCAAACAAAGAACTTTTAACATGCATTTCATTATCCTAAAATGACTTTATTTGAAATAAAATATCATCCCCATATCATGTAACAAAATAAGTATTTTACATTTATACAACGTGAAGGTTTCAAATTAACGTTTAGAAGGATTGCCATTTCCTGATCGCATGATGATTTAGCTAAAATATCAGATACTAACCGACTGCCCCAAGAGGCCTTCCCCTCAGTCTCTCGGCCTCAATGTAATGAGCCTTGAGCCAAAGAGCTTGCAGTTTCTGATGATTGTGCGGACTGAACGTGTGGCTCTCAAGGATCCTGTACAGTTCCTTAAAATGTCCCCGATGAAAGGCGACGATCGCCTTGGCTTTCAGGACGCTCTCGTGTCGGTGCAACCTAGTGCACGCCGGCAGGGACCACAGGAACCTGCCGAGTCTCTCCACGGAGCCAGCCTGCTGGAGAACCTGGACAGACGACACCATCGCCTTGAAGACGATAGACAGGGGGGGCACACTGTTAGTCGGCAGAACTCATCCCGATCTCCTCTTATTCTAGTGTATCTTGTATGTTTCTCAATCGTTATAAGTAATCATTTCTCTCCCTTTCTTCAAATCTATCTTTTGTTTCGCGAAAAGGGTACCATTTTACTTCCAATCGCTTCAAGGCACCAAAAATTACCAACGTACTTCCTATATATTTTTTAACAATATTCAACGAACGCGATCAGTTTTATAAATACCTTTGGACACTTTGAGTGCAAGGAAAATGAATATCCTTCAAGTGGAATCAATATGGCGTCATAAAGCGACGCATATGTGCCTCATTGTTAAATTTTTATAGACATATGATGTTAGCAATATTATTTATAATATTATTGTAATATTGTTAATATTATTATAACTCTTTAATTGTACCAATAATCCCTGAACATTATTACATTTTAAGAAATATTTTACTGGAAATAACGACGACATTCGTCGAGTACTATCAAAAAGTATAGGAATCAGGAAAAAAAATCTTTGATGCCCTTAAACGAAGTTTGGCCATAACAATTATTCTGCTTCGCTCGTTAGAAAGATAATGCTTGCGATACAGCGGTGTGCCCTTTTCACGAGCTCGGTAGCTAATTTCGATGCGAGACTCGTAACACTTAATAACATAGAAAAGGAAAAAGGTAACGTTAAAGTCCCATTACGGCGGATAAGGATCGAGAGAAACAACGTGATACACTGTGTGACGCGATCGATTGGCTCGGTTACATCCAAATTACCGAAAACGAGCCTCCATTACGGTGCTACGAGTCTCGTGCACCTGCCATGGTTTTACTTCTTCATTCGCGTCGTCGGGTGCCACCTAGTTTCCGCTCGCGACAGTTCTGACGAACGATTAATCACCAGACGCGAGAAATACCGTCGTATAATGGATTAATAAAACGCGTCGAAAAGCCGGGAGAGAAATGGACGACAGAAACCGTGAGATTACGTTTTAATCACCGAGCTGTACGAAACTTTCCGATTGGCTCTAGCCGACAAATCAAACCGACGTCTCGAGCGAATTCGAAAGCAAGGAAATTCATTACGAATATCCGTCTTTTCACAAGATTTAGTAATATACAAAATGGTAGCACGAAACGACCAGCACCCGACGAACGGTGAATGTATCCATTATCCTTATTCTTTTATCTCGTTGGCCCATTAGGGCGGTTCACTTCGGATGATACAAGACAACTAGCGCCCACGTCTCACGGGATAATCACGAATCAAAATGGCGGTCGATAAAAAGTCACGCGTAATCGTGCTTTTCTTTTACGTTTCACTTGAGCCTTTCTTCGGATGCCGGGGGACCGAAATAACGGACCTAAGTAACCGTCCATCCGAAGAAGGGTTTAGGGTAGGTTAATAATGGCGAACGTCAAGCAAGGAAGAATGCTTTTACCCGAAAACTGATAGTTTGAATTATACCAAGACGAGACCGTAAACACTCGTACTAAGCCTCTTTATTATGACGCGAAGGTAATTACCCGTTAAACGATTCCATTCTGAGCCGACGGCAGGCTCGTTTATCGAAAGGGTGAAACGTTGTCGTAAATTAAACGGGAATATCCATGTGACGTGGGCAAGGAGTTAAACGTCTAGCCGTATGCAGAACGTACATATGGGAAATATGTACAAATAACGAACGTTCCTCGCGCATCTTTACAAAACGTCTCTTCTTCTCTAACTTATAGTTAATCTTCCTTAAATAGACCCAGTTACGAGTCTACGTGGGTTAAAAAAGTTAGTGAAAAATAATTTACACATTGTTCACGAGACTGGTTTGCCTTCCTGTTATAATATTCTCTTTTAAGTCTGACAAACGAGGTGTAGGTACCGAATAAAATTATGTACCCCGGCACAGTTAAGAAACGAAATTTCGACGCGCGCACGTGTTCGATGCGAGAGGAGCGTAAATGTCGCGCACAGAAACAATTTACGATTGCACTAAAATCGCACGAACTCCATTAGGTGGGTGACATGCAAGTGAATCTTGGCGCTAGGTGCTGTACAATGTTATACGCCCGATTATCCTCGGGGAAATTACGGAATTATAGGGCCAGTTTCATCACCCTCGCTGCGAGTTGCATAAATTAGAATAAGGGTTCCTGTTCGAGTATCTGGTGAATATCGGTAGTCAAGGATATCCGTATTTTGTCCTTAATTCTAATATAAATTTAACTCTTTCCCTGCCAGCATGCTACTGTTAGTAGGGAAAATTGGGAAATTTGAATAGACCACAGTCACTGTCAATAATGAAAGTGTTAAAAAAATAAAATCTAAATGTAGAAGTTAATATTATTATTCAGATTTGTACATGAAAAAATAAAGCATCTTGTACCCTTCCGTCGGACGATGTACAACACCCGTACGCCACGGACTAATGAAAGATTTCACTGAAAAACTGAAATTCAACAACCAAAGCCTAATGACCTTGTCTTACCTCGCAAACACAGGCGACTTGTTCCTGGGTAAATCCAAAGCTCGGTAGTTGTCCATTGCTACCGCTACCGCCGCCGGCGGAACTAGCAGGGCTATCTTGCGGGCTATAACTGGTCGGTCCTGTTCCAGGACCATAGGTACTCGCCTCGACGGGTCCCGCCGAGTGTCCCGTGAGAGGTGTCGGTGTCCCCTGCGGGCTGTAATCACCGGTCGAGCCCAAAACATCCGTACCACCAGAAGAAGGTCCCATCGCACCTCCGTTTCCGGTGGTTCCTCCGTAGGCCATCATGGCATCATCTCCGGGGCCCACGGCGACCCCTTGCACACCGTTCCCTCCTCCACCCTCCACCGTGGACCACTTTCCTTCTTTGCACCTCGTTTCACTCACTATTTCTTTACAACGCGGTCGAATATTCGTTTACGGTTAAGATTCCTTGGAAGGAACCCGCGCACAGCCGACGGAAGATATCTGATTCCTTTGAGGATCGTTCCGACGGCAAATATTTAGCTACGGAAGAGCCACTGGCGGGGATGGTCTCATCGATGATCTTCATCACTTTTTAATGATCATTTACGACGTTCTTTTATGTACAGTTATCTACGTAACATCTTCCGGTATGTTTATAACTGATCTTTTAGGTTAAACTTAGGGTTCTTATTACCGGGGAGAATCTCTCTTCTAAATGAAACGGTCGATTGGGATGAAAGCAAAGAGTTAAAAAGTATTTGGTAACACAAGAACAACGAGACTCTCGCGATGGTGTAAACGCGTCAGAATATGCAGGAAGAAGATATTTTTAGGCTACCACTGGTAGAGAGTTGCTGCAAGCTCTCGGCTGCCCGACGAACTCTACTGGGATGTTTCTCGTGTTACGAGACGGAAGGAAGGGATATACCCCCGTGAAATAATAAAATCTCGTTCCAGGTGCGGTTATTCTCTAATCTGCTTTCAAGTTGATACGCCAGCAGCCGGTGGACCCGATTGCTTCACACACTACACACTCTCTCTCTATCTCCCTTGTCCCGTATACAGCGATTATCTTGCGTTACTACCTCCGACTAGATCCGATTATGGCAAGTTTCTCTTAGAGCGCCAGGTGCGCCCTCCTTCAAGATTATATTCTCCCTCTTTTCCCTTCGACTCGCGTCTTTTCTATCTCCTCGTGGCAGGTTGCAACGTGAAATCCACGGGCTCGTGTTTCCGCGGGCCGTGGTAGGTGTGTATTTATAGGCGCTTAGTATACTCGCGTACGAACGCGCACCGGCTATTATTAGGAGCGTGTTAAATAGTCCGTTTTCTCTGTCTTTCTCTCTCGTTTCTTCTTTTCGAGGAAAATCAACCGAGAACACTTCTTCGTTTCAACTGTCGTCGACTCTGAGGACCGTTGAAAGCACGCGACACACGATGCACTTGAACGTCATGAATCCACTGTTTAAACACCACCGCGTTTGAAACACGCCACTCGTTCCGATTCTACTTAAAGATCACACACGACAATACGACGTATTTACTCGTTACATTGAACAGTTCGACGATGAATCGCGAAATGTCAATTTTACACTCCCTCTCTCTTTCGTGACCGGACGAAAGAGAGACGTTCTCCTACGCACGCACCAGAAGGAACTGCCGCTCCGGCGTGTTTCAAGATCGAGCCACTCCGTCATGCGCAGCTAAGCGCCGATTGGCCGAGGCGTGGCTCGGCTGACAGCTAACCAACGCGCCACCCGATTGGCTGCTGGGCATGGCCACGGCCACCATCCCGCCTCCCTATTGGTCGAACCTTACGCAGCAATAAATAAGCCTCATTACACCTCGACTTCTACACGTTTCCTTCTCTAATGTGAACGTAAGCGAAGAGATGCACAACCAAATCGGACGAATCCATCCCGAGACAGACGCAGTTCTTTCCCGTTGCTCGTTAAATTTTAGAATTGGCTAGCTATTTAATGATTCTCTATGAATATCTTGCACGACGGTACAGAAACGTGAAATACGTCAGCGCATTGCAAATCGTGTTTGACAAATTTCACGTAAGAAGAAGCTGATGCGTTTACGACAATTTAACGATCGATCGATCGAACCCCTAACCTCCAATTTCAAAATATCGATTGTACGTCATTAAATTTGATCGATATCGAAAGATTTGTATCAGAATAAATGGATCCTAATTATTTGATTTCTTCCTTCTTTTCTCGAATAAAATGATTGTCATTCTAACAACTCAAACCATATGCATAGAATTCAAACGTAACAGAAGTGCTTTGCTATGAAACTTTATCCAACTTCTGTTATTAAGGTACTTTTTATCCCGTTGTTTCGTGAAGGTGTTCATAAATATGCAACTACTATAAATCCATTTTTCATCATGCTAAACATAATTCACTTGTAGCATAGAAATAGACAATCGTTTTTCACATACAAAATACACGAATTGAAATGTGATATTATTACTGTCTAGTAACAGCATTTCACTAAGCATACTTTCAAAAAGAATGAACAATCATTGTTGTACATACAAGTAATTCGATATGGTTAAAAGCATAAGTCACATAACCTCACAAAGTTGCAAATGAAATACTAATGTTTCGGTATAACGGAAATGTATTAACTTCTGAACACACGTTTGCTCTGTATTATGAGGATTTTTGACAGTCTGTCAGCAGTTACTTCTGAAGAGGATCGTATGGGAAGTGGGACAAAGGACATCTTGTTTTCTCAGACCGCAAGGACTTTTGGAAAAACAAGGCTATGCTCCCTAAAATAATGTCTGCTTACCAGATTTTCCGACGCGTTGGTACTTGGTAGTAGTATCCAGACGAGACGAGAACATCGCGTCGTTTGTTTTGCACAAACCGTTTTCCATTTTTCGTGATTGATGTGGGACGTTTCTTCAGCGTTGCACGTGCACGGCGTAAAACCCTTCCTGTTCTTGTTTCGTCACTTCCGCGGGTCGGAGCCACTTTTGACGGTTAACAAAATATAATAACTGTCCGTCGTGTCACCAGAGGCCGCCAGATCTTCCTAGAAAAAAATTCACGGATTAGTAACTTCCTAGACACATATCACATTGGAACCTAAAAATAAATTCCGTTACATTTAGCATTTTATTTATATAATATAAGTTATACGGAGTTTTATATTTTTTTGTAACATTGAATTTTTAATAAAGCTATGGTATTAGATTAAATCTATGTTGGCGTTATAATACAATTTTATATTATCAGTTCCCAATGATTATAAAATACTTGAAAGACGAGATTTCTATCTGAATATGAATCATTCCGACAAAATTGACACATTTTCACCGGTTGTATGCAGTTCTCTTCGGTAGGGTGCCACCCGTGGCGTCACCATTCATTCTGGACACACGGTCGAGGCGGTTTGTGGTCCAGGAAGAAGTCGTTGACATCGTAATGTGACGTCTAGGTGGTCTCCGTGCTCTTTTTAAGCAGCCGTGAAATCAACCGTTCGATCTTCTCGATGACAACTTGCTTAAAAATATATGTACGCTTTTAGGACTGGATAAGAATAACTATCGCGTCGCGTGCCATCAGCTAACAATAATCATCCGTTCCAAGAATAATCAAAATTTTGAAGAAACATAATGAATCTATGTATATAAATCAAGATGTTTTAAGAATACCATTTTACATATTAGTTTCTAAATTTTCCTTAACTCGATCAATTTGAAATCATCAAAATATTCGAACGCGACATTGTCGAAGAAGAGCAGTTTTCAGCAGTGCAAACACGAATTTCCTGCTCGTCTCGCGGGATTCGCCGGAAGACGAAAGAAACTCGGCACAAAGCGCGTTCGCATTGACATCGATTCCTTTTGTCATGGAAGGCAAAGAGCGCGGAGACACGCGTAGCGGGAAACGTAGGACGACGGCAAAGGAAGGACGACATGGTTACGCAACAATGCGAAAACGCAAGAGAGCATCCGACGAAAAGCTCGTATCACGTTCCCATAAGTGGCGGAGCGCGGGGATTCCCGCAGAGACATCCTCACCGCTTTTCTCTCCTCGCTCTCTTCCCCACCCGTCGTCGGTACCTGCCTCTGTCTCTCTTCTCCGTTCGAAACTAGCGCGTTCACAACGTGTGCACAACGTAATAAAAAGGGCATAGAGGCGCCAGGTATACGCGCGTACGAGAAATTCCATGGTGACGGCACCCCGGGTATCCCGTGGCGAGACCTGAATAACCCATAATTGCACCTCCTGCTACCCTCCATTCACGTGCACGCCTCTGTCGTGCCTCGTTCCTCGCACAAAGACGTCTGCTAACTGCTCACCAGAGGCTCGATTCATCGGGACGAACTTTGGCCCACGGGATTGTTTGAACCACGAATATCGTCCGGTTAGCTGGGCTGTGTCGGTAGAAGCGACGATAGCGATGTGCTGCTCGAAGACAGATCCAAGGTTCCGTTTGGGGATGAACCAGAAAACTCAGGCAAATGTCAACCGTGACGAGCCAGCCCTCCAACGTAACGTATTTATTGAACCGTCTGCTGAGTATGGCGTGCTGATGATTTTAAGCAAATATCTTAACACTAGATTGCCGGACTCACATCCGTCAAAATAGGTATAGTACATATGGATTTTTTGAACTAAGGAGTGGGGAGAGAAAGGAATTAGTATTTGTTAACATATGTTTAAAAAAAAATTATTTAAGTTTTTCTGTATATGTATATAGCAATAAAATCGTAAATGAGTCAAATTGACTCGCTCCGGCAATCTAGTGTTAACGAGGATGAGAGTGATGATGATATAAAGTGCCCAATCGTGGAGGGTGCCGTTTACCTGCAAAATGAGTCTTTGTATTAATTATATAAAATCGTGAATGATGATTATTAATAGAAATTAGTTCATTAGTCTATTCGTTTGTAGCACTCTGTAGATTTATTTTTCATAGATTAAAAGAACAGATTTGTATCTTGTTCACAAGAATAAAAAGTTATTACATTATACGTACCAGGTTTTCAACAGAATTAATTCTACTCACACGCAATAACATTTATTTTGCAGAATTTCAAAACTCTAATCAGAATCATTCAAATAATTTTGTACTTTTTGTTCTAAGAATGATCATTGTTGAACCAGGAGAGGAACCAGCTGGATTTGGGAGAATTCCCTTCATTAAAATGCTCTTCCTGATTCTCATGTTCTACTGGTATCGGTTCCGCTGCAATATCATCGTCATCGTAGTAGGTCCAAAATTTTTTCTCCCCGGGAGATTGTGATTTTTCTAACTGAATATCCTCGAAGCTACTTCTCATCACGGAGTAGTTTCTCTCCGGTAAAATACCGAATGGTTTATGCTCCGGCATCGAAACAACGTTTCCCATGGTGTTGTTGATCAAACAATTGAACGGTACGCCGATACAGGACATTTTCTTCGATGGATCCTTTTCACCCTTCTTCGTTTGTTTCTGTTTACATGGACTCACGACGCGTTCCAAACCTTTGGTCACCTTCGCCTCCTTCTTCTTATCCTTGTCCTTTTTGTTGCTTTTGATGTGCTTCTTGCACTCTTCCATCTCTTTCTTTTCTCGTTCTATCCGGTCCTCCATAGACTCATCCTGGGAGGAAGCACTTTTCCTTTCTGTTATAACAAATTACAAGTTATTTACAATATATCAAGCTATAAAATAAATAAAAAAAATAAAATGAATCTGAAATCACCTTTGCAAATTTTCTCTCTCTGCTTAGCACAATAGTCGTCAGATTTGCTGGAAGCTTTGCCAGAATCCTGCTGCTTCTTCGGGGTTATTATACATTTGCTTTTAGTTTTCTTCGTTCGCTTACATATGCTATCATCGTCAGCCTTTTTCGCTATCTTACATTTGCTCTCAGTCTTTTTCGCTCGCTTACATATGCTATCATCGTCAGTCTTTTTCGCTATCTTACATTTGCTCTCAGTCTTTTTCGCTCGCTTACATATGCTATCATCGGTAGTCTTTTTCGCTATCTTACATTTGCTCTCAGTCTTTTTCGCTGGCTTACATATGCTCTCAGTCCTTTTCGGTGGCTTACATTTGCTCTCAGTCTTTCTCGCCGGTTTACATTTGCTCTCAGTCTTTTTCACTGGCTTACATTTGCTCTCAGTCCTTTTCGCTGGCTTACATATGCTCTCAGTCTTTTTCACTGGCTTACATATGCTCTCACTCCTCTGAGCTGTTTTACACTTACTTTCAGTCTTCCTCGCTGGTTTACATTTGCTTTCAGTTTTCTTAGGTGCTTTACATTTGACGTCATCGCTGGAAGCTGGCTTTTCACATTTGCTTTCAGATTTGGAAGATTTGCAAGAGGGTGGTTTCTTTCCATAAAATCGACCCTTAGCCGGATCAAACATCGTCTGATTCGATTCACCGTTTCCTTTCATGCTGATTAATGAGAAGGCAAAAGCTGGCAGGGAAGAGTATCGTTTTATATTCTGCGAAGACAGCCGCCGTCCTGTGAACGCTGAGTACGTATAGTTCCTTCGTCCGGTGCATTTCGCGGGTCTTTTGGAACAGTTTTGATCACTGCACCTTTGTCGATTGCAGGAATTTCTTCTTCTTGGTTTCGTACAGATCTCGCGACCCTCGTTTTCTTTATTCTGCGAGCAATCTCTTCTTTCTTGCCTTTTACAGGATCTGTTTCTGTTTCGGGAGCAACTTCGCTCTCGCTTGCAACTTTGCTCCCTTTTGCAACTTGGCTCTCGCTTTTTACTTCGTTCTCGCTTGCAACTTCGTTCTCGGCTGCAACTCGGTCTCCTTCTAAATATTTATGAATAAAGAATAGAATCATTATAAAGAGAAATTTAACAAGGTGAGCGGCACAGTAGAAAAAGCCATATGTAGTCAGACACATATTTTCAAATGTAAGATTTAATATCTTGCATTGTTAATTCAAAATTTCCCTCCTTTTTATTAATTATACTAATTATTTGATCAGAAAATTTCAGATGAAAGTGTTCAATTTTCTAGTATACCTTTCTCCGCTACAGGATCTCTCCCTTTCACAACTTCTCTCCCTCTTGCATTCCCTCCTCCTCCTCGGTTTCGTACAAATTTCCCTTCCTTCCTCTTTTTTTTCCTTGCCCATTGGCAAGCATGTAGGATCCGTCTTTACCGGTTTAGCCCGCTTTTGTTTCTTATTGTGCCCTTTGCTATCCTTCGGGCACTTATTTTCAAAATTACAGCCACTTGGTATCTGCAGTGCTGGACAACAGAAACGTTTGCAGACCTTCTTCTCTTTCTTCTCTTTCCTGTCGCCGCATTTTCTTTGCCTGCCACATTTGTTCTGACGAGGTTTCGTGCATATCATTTTACCTTCGCCACCTTCATCACGGTCACCACATTTCTTCGGCGTCATATTGGCGCTAGAAGTTGAGATGTTGGACGTCGAGTTCTTGTTAGCTGGATTTCCAGTTGCATTCTCCGGTACTTTCTTCTGCAAACATGAGGCGTTCGAAGAAGATCTCTTCGCAGGGAATGGAGGATACGAAGCCGGTGGTTTTCGAGAACCTCCACTGGAACCTCCTGTCATGGATGACCCACCGAGCCCAGAGGAACCTGCCTCCTGACTCTGAGAATTGTTCTGAGACATAGTCTGCAATTCTGACTGCTTTACTGCTGCCTGCAGTCTGGCTTGAGTTGCAGCACATGGCGATGTTGTTACAGGCTGCTTCTCATAAGGATTTGTTATCTTCATGGAGCTACTTTTGGGTGGAGCACCTAGGATTAACTCGTAAGTAGGCTTACTATCAAACTTAGACGATAAACTGGACTTGGATAGTTTAGTATATTTCCATGGACGTGGGGCAAAGTAGGTGGACGCTGATGGTTTTGGTATCTCCATCGAATGGGGTATCATCTCTTTTTTCAATTCATTTTCTGGCATTCTTGAAGACATTTGTTCAGAATGATTACCCTCTTTCGAATTAGCCTTTACATGATCAATTTTAGTGGGTTTAGATTCCTCCATGGAGGACCATTCAGACTGTGCATTCTCAGGTACTTCACCATGGGCCAAAAATGATTCCTGAGGAGTAGGCTTACCACTTTCAGAAGCTTGTTGCGGGTAAGATTCTTGAGAAGGTGCTGTGGCTGGTTTATCGACACGAGGTGGTTTTCTAGCATCCTCCATAAGGTGTTCATCTGTCTTTGCTTCCATTCCAGGTGGCAAGGGTTTGGAGATCTTTTTGGGTGGATGAGAAGAATACTGTACCGATGGTTGTGACAGTTTCAATTTCGAAATTGGTATAAACTGATCCTCCTTTTTGGGTATAGAAGTTGCTAGCAATCTTTGCATGGTCTTAGTTGGTATTTGACTGGAAACAGCATTCATGATAGGGTTAGATTCTGGTTGTGTCACTTTCTTTTCAACCCGTACATCATTCTGTTTGTTCTCAATTGCTTTGGTCGTTAGACATAGGGTATTTTCATTTATAGTATCCTTCTTTTTTGCCTTAGGTTCGTTTCTCGATAGAATATCAAGATCGTAGCAGTTTCCACCAGGTACGAACCCAAAATCACTAGATTGTTCATGGCGAAGGGTTTTATAACCTTTCAATTTCCATTTCATCGTTCTGGGCACGGGATTTCCATCCAACAGGGAGACCAGGTTGTCAGATTGACCGAGGGGCCTTGGTATTCTTGAACGTTTCACGTTATCCGACTTTTCATCGAATTGGTAGACGTGTATCTTTGGATTTAAGTTAGGGGTCATGGAGCCGCCTGCGGATAAGCTTGCACGGTTTTTTGATAAGCTTTCGAATTCGTTGGAAAGCAAGGAGGAGGAGACGATTTCCTTCGAGGAGGGGCATTTCTTAACGTCTCGACAGGTCGCATCTTCTTTCAGGGAGAACTCGAAGAGGTTCCAGAAGCGACGCGAGGGTGCATTCGTGTGAAGCTAGAATTATAGAAATGGATGAACGATGGTAAAGAAATTGAAAAATTTACGACCTTCAGGATTAAATTGTAAGATTTTAAATCATCAAATGGAAAACTCGGAAAATAGCTACCTATGTACATATGTAAAAATTAACTTTGATTATTTTTAAGAAATCAAGGTTCCGTCAAAAATCTTTGTAGATTAGATTAAATAAAATAATAATTGATGATTAAGGTATACCTGAACACCCTTAGAAGGTAAAATATGAGAGAAATCCTGCAAAACCAATGTCCTGATCCCGTTCATTGTGTCTTGTTCAAATTTTGTCGCTCAACGCTTCAAGGATATGCCGAAAATTTTTAAAGATGATTACTTAAAATTTTGAACGTGTAATCATGGAAAAAATGAAATTTATACGCGAGCCAGAGTCATTCGAAAATTCTCCAGCATCGCGGCATTTTGAAATACTGACAAGACATTTAAATAACAACGGGAGATCGGACGATCAACGGTTACCAAAACATTCGACAAACGATTATCGATTTGAAATGAGAAGTGAAGTGAATTAATAATTCACTTCGTTCAATAGTTGTCACTTTATATTTGGTCGACTTCAATGTGCATGTATCTTTAATCATAATATTAATAAATGATACTCGTTGGTAATATTCTTTTATTTTTATTTTTATTTAAAGATCATTCGCGTTAAACAATTTTTATTTTTATTTCCTTTCTGAAGAGAGATTATTTATTGGATGGGCCATAAGATTTGATGAGAGGATCCTAGCCTTAGAGTTTTAGAAATTTGAAATTTTTATATCATTGAAACTATGGAATTTAGAAATTTTGGAACTTTAAAGTCTTAAAACTTTAGAATTCCAGTATGACGAAGAGGCTACTCCACCCTGATCCCTGTCTAATTAAATAACTGATTAATTAAGCTTCAAATAGCAAATGTGACCCTGCGTTTGCAACCCGCTGATTTCTTCTCGTTCCTCTTCCCTTTCTGATATGGAAATCTCAATCCCTGACTTTCCTCTTGAAATCGTATACCACTTGTCTCATGACCTTTGGCCGAGGTCTGTCGCATCGCACTCCGAAGACGATCTTCGAATTTTCCGACGACTTTTGATTCGTCCGTTGGTGGAGTTTTGCTTGAGGATCCCGTGCCCTGAGAACTTCCACCCAACAGGACTTGCCTTTCACTGGTATCCACTGTTCGTAGATCAATTGAAGCCGTTCCCATGGTCTTATTTTACTGCTGTACGCCTTTTTATGGGACCACTGGAATCCAGTGAATCGATAAAGAAAAAATTAATCCTCAATAATCCTAGACCTTGCCTATTTTGCTAAGTGGTAGACACGGTTCTGCCTTTAACGCCACAATCAATATATTAATGCAATTAAAATTCAGACTTAAATTAATTCATATGGACGATGGAAAAATTAATAAGGTTACAGTACCACTGGTGGTTTTCCGAAGGTCAATAAAAAGGACCTATTAGTAAATGCCTTAATATTGTTCATGACAAATTTCCTTGAAGCTTAAATCGAATTTCTTCGAAAATTTTAATGATACTTTGACATATTCAAGAAGGCAAAAATGTGTTGGAAGGAGAGCCTATAAATTGATCACATGATTTTGTCAAAATATAAACAGGAAGAATTTTTCTCATACCCGTGAAATTATTCCTGAATGACAAATGACAAATGACAAATATCCATTTTCGACTATAAAACCATGAAACATGGTAAAAGCTGAATTTTCATGTTGAAAATTCTTGGAAGTTTCCCTCGACGATTTCAAAGCGTGTTAACGAGCCAAGTTCTCGTCCTATGTTCGATACTCAGGACGAGTAATTGTCTATGCACTTGATTGCATATCATGGAACTTCAGTGTTGCTTCAGACGATGCCTGAAAGGTACCTTTAATGAGTAGAACTCGCCGTTAGTTCTCGAAGTATAGAATCGTGGTAGATACTTGGGGGAGAGTTGCGTTTCAAGGGATTTGAAAAGTATCCGAGAGCTTCGTTTAATCGCGTATTTGCACGTTTAATTGAATCGGGCACGAAAAGAGCTTCCCAGTGAGCCGTTCGCTATGGAATTCAAACACTTCAATTATAAACAAGAAACTAAGAAGTAACATAAACAGAAAATTCGGGAACCTGATTCTAGAATCAGGTCGACCGAAACCTTAAAAATTTGTAAAAAGGAGATCTTTAAATTTTATAAACTTCTCTAAGTTTGTAAGGTATATAAATGAGAATATGAAAAATGGAGAGAAAATGAATTTCCAAGTTTAATGGCTCCTTTTGTTCGTATTCTCGTTCAAATAATAAAACGCTGGAACGATGAGACACCGAGTTCCATCGGAGCATGCTCCGTTCCGGAAACAAACGTCAACGGTGAACAGATCGATGATTCGCGTCCATGGAAACCACGGATGGACCAATACGAGAAGACTATTCTCCTTTCCGCCGGACAGGCGCATCCGCCTTTTCCTCTCGCATTCGTTCACGAACGAAAGAAAAACGTCTGCACGCAAAATAAGTAACATTCATTTTTACTCGATACACGTATTATTTTTCTCGATCTACGATTGCGAATTATTTGTGATAAAAAAATTTAATTTGGAGCCTAAAAATTTGTCCATAAAAAGTGTCAGATAAATAATTAATCAATGAATAAATGAAAGAAATTATTTTCATAATAATTAGACAACTTCTAAATCACCTTATCACCTGTTCAAAAATATTTTCATACCTGAAGAAGGAAACGAGACTCGAATATAAAGAATAATTATCAGATAAAGATCTTTTTCTTATTCAGAATTTGATATTTACGATCCGTCGTGAAATTAACCTGCGACCCTTAAAGGGGAAAGATTAAGGCCAGACGGTCTTGTTCGCCTTTTTTTAATCGATTCAAGCGGAAAGCAAAAGATGACGCTTGTTTATAAAACGAGTTCCAGCTGTACGGATGCTCATCGTGCACCGATTCGATTTTGTTTCGAGCTTACTGTCAGATCGGTCAGGTAGTCCGACTCCGTATTACGTTACCTGCGACGCTCGCTCGAGTGCATTCGCTCGCATTGCTGGCTGCACGTCACCTGACTTTAACTTTGTTTAATATTAATTAAGCCAAAGGTGTCGGAACGATTCTTCCTTTTCCGATGTCCTGATCGATATCCAAAACAGCTATTCCTACCTCATGATCCTAATTTCTCACCTCGTTTAACCATTATCCAAATACAATATTTCAGGCAAAACTATTTTTCACGCTCTTCGACATTTCCTTATTGTTTGTATAACAGAAAAGTACCAAGCCAAGGGAAACGTACACAGGATGGTTCGCGATGGAAAAAGCGCAGAATCTATTGCTGCTCGTGGGCGAGGTAGGTTTCGAGCAAGAACGAGACACTCGGAAGACTATAAATCCTCGTGTGAGAGCGCGACTTCCGGTTTGCCCTTCAGAAAATCGTCGATTCACGATCCAGTGTTCCAAATCACCTTTTGCCTTACAATAATAAAACATAAAATCCTTGAATCATGTATCTAATAAATTACAATGAAACATTAATCAACCCATAGAAAATAAAAGATTTCTAATTAAATTATAGAGCAATCAAAAATTTAATTAGAAAATATCCTGTACCATTGAATCAAAGAATATTCTTTTTCTTCAGCTGACAATTGCAACGATTCAACGATCCACATAGACGGAAACAAATTGAACATAATATTCTTCTTTTGTAACAACAATCCCGGAAGACATCCAATACTCCAAATAATCGGTGGAACAGAGGTGGAAACAAAATCGGAATTGTACACCGTGGGTTTATTCAAAGGATCGCGGATAGTCGCTAAAAGTGAGCGTTGTTACTCCGATGGAAATCATTGTTATCAATGTGTTTGGCATCAAAGTGGCAATCGTTGGACATGTCAAACCTCTCCTGGTGTACTCGCGTATTGCACGCTCGCAATGGTTAGGCGATTTCGTGCGTTCTCTGCTATACGAAACCTATGGGCGTTGCTCCATCGTAACGCGATACCTTTGTACTCTCTTCTACCTATGGAAACGTGTGCATCTATCGGTGCGACTGCTTTCAATGTTGCTATTGATAAGAGCTTACTAAAGCTTATCATACGCTGACAATGAAAATGTATTTAAAACCATGAAACCACGAAATCAACCGTATAACATTCGTTTCTATTTCCATTTATTGTATCGTGAACTCGATAACTCCCACGCGATTCACTTGTTCAGAGTTAAAAATGCAGGGAATTATCGAGCGTTTACTGTAATAACACAAGGCAAACAAGGACTACCGTGAAAACGAAGCAAAATTCCCAAGAGAAGATTCTGAAACGGTATAAAACACTCGGAGTCGATGGCTGGTCAGCGATATACGACAACCAGTTACCTATTATTTCCCGCGACGATGGTTATTGCTTGTACACGCGAGCACGTCGAATTCTTAGCCGGAAAATACGAGCACGAGGTTTCGTATGGAACTAGGAAGGAACAGTACTCGTGGGAACGAAGGTAAGAGAAAGATGAAGAAAAAGAAGAAGTAGAGGAGGGGGGCTCGTGTCGATCCTATCGGAGACCCGAATCTTGGAATTCGAATTTGTCCCCTTATCTGCGGATTCCATCGTAATTGCTTATCTACGAGGCGCTTGCTCGCCGGGACCAACCATATCCACCTACTTTATGCGACGCGACGCCTCGCCTCACCACCGAGACACGCGTGTATCCACGTTCTCGCGTGTTTCCGTCACGCGAAACCTCCGCCAGCTTCGGGACGTTTTATCGTCGCTAGGGAATCGTATACGAGTTCCCTTCTTCCTTTTTCTTTCTTTCTACTCTTTCAGAACGACACCGTTCTATCCTCTTAGGACTTTCTTCATCCGTGGCTTTAATTCCGGTGGCGCTACGGCGAGGCATCCCTTTTTTCTTCGGATCAGTTCTAAATATCTGAAGTAACATCGAACGTTCCCTCATCCTTTCGGAATCGGATATTGAAAAATGAATTCTGGAGACAAGGAACGTCATTTTGTAACGCGACTATTGAAATATATGGTACGCGGAGGAAACGACGACGGGTAGTTTGCACCCGTGGAAAGTGTCCGTGTGTGGTCCTGGTTGTCCCTGTCCCTCTGTTTCGTCGCTCGAGTCCCTGTTGTTGCGAGCGGATCGGGGAACGATGACGTTAGTAACCCGATATCACCACCATCCACGGCCCGCAGACGGCTTCCATACAGATGTTCCAAAGGGAATAGGGCCGTGCAGAGGTGGCGTACCATTATCCGTTTATGGAATGCTGTTTCGCGTCCTCCGCACGGTCTACATCCATCGATAACGGTAATCGCTTTTGTTCGACGCGCGTCGAATCACTGACGATGTCCAACTACTAGCCTCCGACTACCTCCAAGCGTTGCGTTCAACCTAACAGGATTTTTCACGTAATTATGGTATTATCTCCGAGAACCGATGGATCAACCGTTCTAGAGAAAACACGCGGAAGAGAGTGATCCTTATTGTGGAAATAGTTCGCATAAATATCTTAACTGTGCTAGGGGTGCGCGGGTACCTGAACCTCGGGTTGGATCGAATAATTTTCAGTACCGAAGAAAATGAGTTGGATTAACTATTGGGGTCTCGCCCGATCAGATTCGATCTGAGATTCCAGGTACCTGTATACCCCTAAACCGCGTCATATAAAATGAAAAAATTTAGAACAATTAGTATAAATTATGAAATAATCTTCGTAAGTAAATAAAAGTAATTGGGATCTGATAAAAGGGTGAAGGTTCATGGAAAAACAGTTGAGATTTTCTTCGAATCAAGCACCGATAGATAGAGATCTCTGGCACCTATTTTAAACGGGTGAAACTTTTGACCACCCTCGCGGGCAAATTTCAAGGAATCGTTACGATTCTTGGTACCGTGGAGGAATCACGAAGATAGTAGATGAAGAGGAAGGGAAAGGAGCGAAGAGGCGAAGGGGAAGAGGCAGACGGTAGACAAATGAGTCGGGCCGCGAGTCCCTGCGACTCGTTTAATCAAAGTTTGGGATGCGTGTTGCCTCGGTCCCGAACTAACTACGCCCGATCATGCTACGAGTTGAAACGAAAAGCAACCATCGTAACGACTGTCTCTTCTTTAACGTTCACCGTTCGTCCATGTTCTATCCGCCTCGATTGGCAGATTCGTATTTTTGAACGAAGAAAATCTAGGGCTACGCGCAGCGTATGGTTGCCAGTTGGTCGCATTCACCGCGGCGTAATATCAATAATTACATACGACCGGCTAGAAATATCGGTTTCCTTCACCGCAAGAAAAGTTCAAAGAACTGCCACAATTTCGCAATCTATCCGTCGCTAAACCATGACCTATTTACCATAAATGACGCAGCTGTTGGACGACGTTTCTTTCACACCTATGTCCATTTCGTATGTTTCAAAGATCGCAATGAGCGGACCCAGGGCATAGACGATTGAAGACGGGGAAAAAAAAAGCGAGAGAGATGAAAAAAAAAAACAAAGAGTGAAATGGTAGAGGGGCGGGAGGGATAGAAGGGAAGAGGTGGAGAGAATCGCGGTGTCTGGCCACTCTATAATTTGTCGGGGTGAGTTACCGCCCTTGTCTTTGCTTAGCGTTGGCCGT